GACGGTCTTAGAGGGTCCCCAAACGGTTCAAGAAGGGTTCAAGATCGCCCAAGAGGGCCTGAAGACGGCTCCAAGAGGGGTCCAAGAGGGGGAACACGAACCGATAATTCGAGCTTTCCGCTTCTAGAGGCCCCACGAAGCCCCCAAGAGGCCCAAAAAGAGACCCCAATAGGCCCCCAAACGGTCCCCAAGAGGCCTCCAAAACTTCCAAGAGGCCCCCGAGAGGTTTCCTACGATGCCGAAATGAACTTCCAAAATACCTCTAACCCACCACGCAGGCACGGTGGCAGGATGGGCTGAAGGCCACTGGACGGTCCAACGCGCCCAAGATGGCTTCCAGACGGCCCTAGAGCCCCCAAAGATACCAAAGAGGTCTCCAAGAGGTCTCCCAAGAGAGCTCGAAGAGGCAACACTAACATTCAGTTTTCTCCAGGTTGTTCTAGCAAGTGTGGCGTTTCTGCTTGTTCCGCTTCCCGGCGCTGCAAGACGCCCCAAAAGACCCAGAGGATCGAATATGGCTTCAAAAGCGCCAGCAGACGGGCCCAACACCTTGCCAAAACGGCAGAAACGATATCTAAGACGGCCCGGCAGGGCCCCAACCGCGGCCAAGGATCGGGAGCGTGAACCGAGAACCCGAGATCTTCGCCCCAGGAAACCCCCGGGAGGTCTCAAGAGGCCCCCGCAAAGCTCCAGAGAGGCCCAAACGAGCAAAAGAGGCCCCGATGGCCTTTGCAACAATAATCATGCAAACAATTCCGTTGTTCCAAGTTTCGCTTGGCAATTCGGCTACGGTTGCAAACAATATATCGATATGTCTGTCTATCGATCTGTCTATCTATCCTCCTGCTACGTCCAGCCGCGGCGAAGAGAAAGGCCCCAGCAATGCCCCTTGGACGTGTGCGTACGGATGAGTATGGGGCCACAACAGAATGGCGTGATTTGACAGTTACGCTATGCTGACGTTATGGCTCAAGGGTCCGAGATACAATCTAGCGATGGCGGAGGAGCCACGTAGATGACCCACGGCAGACAGCCGGACCACCGCCATGGCGGTGGTTCCAGCAACGTTGATCCACGCGCGGCAGCAGGCGTTGGCAGGAGAACAGGGCGGAGAAGCGGCAGAACAGTTGTTAAACATATTGGCGGCGACTGCCCAGCAGCAGGCCAGCCAGGTGACGATGCTGCAACAGTATTTGCAGCAGTTGGAGACGAGGACTGCAGGTAGCCAAGCCGGGCGCAGTCAGACGGTGCCAGGACTCGTGGGCACTAAGACGCTCGGCCGAGTAGACAAGTTCAAGGGAGCTCGCATGGATTGAACAGACTTGTCTTTCGTCTTCCACGCGTTCCTGGGAGGCGTGGGCTCCAAGGCGGCGGAGGCGCTGCGTTGGGCGCGCAGGCGGAGCCGCTCAGCAGGGTGATCATAGACCTAGATGGCAACCAGGAGGTCCTCCACAGACGCACTGGCCAGATCTGCACGGCCCTCAGCCTGCTGGCCCAGGGCGACGCTCTAGACAAATAGTGGCAAGTCCCGCGAGGCGAAGGGTTAGAGGCGCGGAGGAATATCGTAGCCTACTACGAGCCGCTTAACCGCGGCCACAAGCTGAAGCTGATGCGCCGCGCAGCGAATCCGAAGCCGACGGCAGGCAGCTCGCCGATGCAGAACATCGAAACATGAGAGGAGGCAGTGAGCTGATGCGAGAGGCGCTCCACGGCGACGCTCGGCCCTGACCTGGAGATGGGCGCCTTCTGCCAGATCCTCCCCGGCAGCCTGCGAGTGCACTTATACCTGAACGCGGGGCGCTACCCAGCATGCGAGGCCATGCGCGAGGCAGCTATGCTCTACCTGGAGGAGAAGACCGACCCCGTGGACGCCGAGAGGAGTGAAACGGCCCCCATGGACGTGGAGCAGCGACTCGTCGGGCTGGAGCGAGGCAGGAGCATCGGCCCGAGGGCAAGTCCCGAGGCAGGAGGGGCCAAAATGGCAAGACACGGGGCGGCAATGACCTCAAGGGCAAGCCCGAGGGTGGCAAGGCGTGCGACGACATGGGTAATGGCTACGACAATCACATTGAGAAGTTCGGCGGCTACTGCAACCTCTGCAACAAGTGCGGACACAAGAGGGCGGACTGCTGGTGGAATGATCAGACCAGAGGTGGGAGGTGGCCCGAAGCAAGTGAATGCTCTGAACCAGGACGAGAAGGCTGGGCAGCCCACGGCAGGAGGGCACGCAGCGTCTGCGTCCAGCGGCGACCGACCATCCTTGATCTTAGAGCGCAGCGGGGACACGGAGCCGGCCTTGCCGCGGTTCCTTGCGACGGCGGAAGAGCGCAAGGGGGATCCCGAGCACGCCGAGAAGGCGTTGTTGACCGTGATCAGTAGCACCCGGCGCAAGCACGAGAGGGCTTGCTGGAGTGCTGCTCGGCTGGACTTCTCTCCCCGCCGCGGCTGGAGAACAGGCCGCTGAAGCGAGGGGGGGGGGGGGGGGGGCGCGGCCGACCGCTCTGCGACGGGCGGCCGTGTCAGGGCGGCCGGGCGCGCAGCCCGTGATGTTCAAGACGGCGTGGGACAATCACGGGTTGTCGCGCGCGAGTGCGAAGTGGCCGAGGAGAGCTGCCAGCCCGACGCGGTTATCATTCCAGCGGGCAACGTGACCAGCAACGGCTGCAGGATCGTTCTGGACGACGACGGCAGCCACGCCGAGGGCAAGAAGAGCGGCCAGCGGCTGACCGTGGACAGGCGGAACAATATACACGCGCTCGATGTCGACATCATCGACCCCGATGTGCGCGACGACAAGGCGGCCACGGTGTTGCCCATCGAGAATGAAAAGGCGTGGGAAGAGGGGCCGACCGCCATGGTCGAGCTCGATGCTGCGCGGGCGATGCACCGCAGGGGCGTGCCCAGACAGCCCAGCGCCCAGGAGATCAAGTCTCGCAACATCACCTACATCCCGCGTCGGGATTGGTGCTCGGCGCGCGTGCGCGGGCGAGGGCGAGCCGACCGACACTTACGGCTGCGCAGCGAGGACCGACTCATGCCCGTGCTGGGCTTCGCTCCTTCTTCCATGGGCACGCCGTTACGACGGGCCACCTACGGCCATGTGCCATTGCGAAGATGGCGTCAAGCGCCCGGCGGTGACGATGCTGCCGTTCAAATCCACCGAGCACTTATACGCCTCGCGGTGGTTGGCGGCGAGCGTCGAGCTGAGCGGACACAGGGGGGCCATCCGGAAGTCCGACGGCGAGCCCGCAGTGCTCAAGATGAAGAAGCAGGCGATGGAGAAGGTCGTCGGCATCAGATTTGGTGCCAGAAGGGAAGCCGAGCAGGGGCTCCAAGAGCAACCCCGACGCGGGGCCCGCCAGGAACGCGGCGGCAGGCCTGCTCAGGTGCCACACGGCGCAGCTCGACAAGGGCATGGGGCACGTGGCGGAGTCCGACTGCCCAGCGGTCGCGTGGCTGACCAACAGCTGCGAAGTGCTCTACAACATCACGCGCGTGGGTAGCCACGGGCTGACGTCCTTCGAGCGGGCCCGAGGACGGCGGATGGGTCGCCCTCTCTGCATGTTTGGTGGGCAGGTACTATGCAGGCCAGTGCCAGTCGGAAATAGCAAGGCTGCGAATATGGAGCCCAGGTTCATCCCAGGGATCTCCCCAAAGCTACTCGAGCGCGCGGGGGAGGTGATCATTGGAGCCTCCGAAGTAGCTGCGGTGCGGCGCCGTGACTACAAACGGCAGCCGCGCGAGAGCCAGCGGAACAAGGGACTGGCGCTGGGCCCCCTGAAGGCGCCACCCTGGGCCCTGAGCGGGAATGCGGAGTCGGGTGCCGGCCGACTGCCGAGAGCGACGATGCGGATCGAAACGGAGGCGCCCGGTGGGCCCCGAGCCTCCGCCTGGACTTGCGCCGAGGCGGCCAGCGCCCAGGCAGATATGCGTGACGGCGCGGCTGCAGAGCAAGTTCGGGGGGGCTCCAGGCTGCGCAGCCTATGGTGGGCGCGCGGTGGCCCGCGCAGGCGCGCGCAGGGCCCGGGCGCTGGGCGAGGTGTTCGCCGACCCGTTGGAGTGCGCGCGGCGCGCGCTCAACTGCCTGGAGGGAGGTGCCGAGGCGGTTGGCCAGGAGGCGCAGCCGTCTGGTGCTACGGGGCCAGCCGACCAGGCCCCAGCAGAGCCTGCGCCCGCGCCTGCCGGCGGCGGCTAGGCCAGCAACTCGCCCAGCGCGGAGCAGCACGTCAAGGATGAGACCGGCGCGCACATGGGCGCGAGGGGGGGGCCCGCGCAACCTTCGACCAGCATGGGCGCGACCGACGAGAGGCGGCCTCGCGAGGCCGCCGACGACGAGACAGAACCAGCACCCAAGAGGGCGGATCTAGCCGTGATGCCCGATGAGGAGAGCCTGGACGACGACGCCGAGCGCTGCTTCTCAGCGAACTGCGTGGGCGAGATCACGCGGCTGCCGCTCGGGCCTGGAGGTGGACGAGGCCATGATGGAGGAGATGTCGGAGTACGAGAAGCACGAGGTCTACGAGGAAGTGAGTCTGGTGGCCTGCTGGGCCGCTACTGGCGCACGACTTGCGGACTGCCGCTGGAAGGTGATCAACAAGGGGGACTCGCGGAACCGCGACGCGAGGGCGAGGCTGATCGCGCGCGAGCCGAAGAAGGACAAGCCTGGATGAGCGACGGCCTTCGCAGGCGCCCCGCCTCCGTGAGCTTTCGGGCGCTATGCGCGAGCGCTCGGTCTGGCAGGGCCCGAGGAGGGGCGCCCGGGGAGCTGGGGGTCATCGACGTCAGGAGGGCCTTCTTCCACTCGCTGCACGGTGAGGGCGTGCACGTCCTTCTTCCGCAACTTCGAGGCATTGGTCGATGTTGGCGACTGCGAAAGTCGATGCGCGGCGCGCTGTCGGCGGCTGGAGACTTCCAAGACACGCCGGCGGGCGACCTGACCAAGCGCCTGAAGATGTAGGGGGGGCTTGGGCAGCGCCTGCCTCTTCCACGATCATGACAAGGATGCGGGGCTGGTCTACCGCTGGGGCGACGTCAGCGAGACCGAGCTGGACCTCGTGACACAGGGGCTCGGCAAGCACTGCGAGATCGCGGCGCCCGGCCCCGACGAGAAGGACGACAAGATCGGTTTCTTGCTCAACAGGCCCGCGACCTGGGAGGGGGGAAGGCTGCTGCGGGGGTGCGACCCCAGGCGTATCGAGCTGGCGTTCGCGGAGCTAGGCCTGGTAGGTGCCACGCCAAAGTCGACGCGAGGGGCGAAGGTGACCAAGCTGGAGCGGAAGGCGGCCAAGCCTCTACCCCCAGCTGCGATGAGTGCAGACAGGAGCGCGGCGGCCAGGATCGGCTACATCTCCCACGACGGGTTCGACCTGCTCTTGCTCGGTGAAGGAGTGCCCGCGCGCGATGCAGGCGCCGGCCGAGCTTAACCTGACGCAGCTGAAGCACATCGGCGGGGGCCTGGTGGGCACGCCGAGGGTCGCGCTGGAGTTCAGGGCCCAGGCTCGAGCGGAGATGGCGACGGCGCTCGAGGGCACCGACTACGGAGGCTGTCCTATTATGAGGCGCAGCAGCCTCGGTGGCGTGGTGCTGGACGGCGTGAACCCCCTGATGGCATGGTCGGTGGCGCAGGCGATCTCGCCACCATCGTGCGGAGAAAACGAGCTGCGCGGCTGCGTGAAGGCATGCGCGGAGGGATTCGGAGTGATATCGGGCTTCGGCGACTTGGGCGAGCAGAAGGCGCTGCGGGTTGGGGTGGACTCGTCGGCTGCGCTGGGCGTCGCGCGCAGGATTTGCCTGGGGAAGCTCAAGCACATCGACGCCAGATACCTCTGGGCCCAGCACGCGCGCAATCAGAACAGACTGGCGGTGTTCAAGGTGCTGGGGGCCTCGAACGGCGCCAACCCCATGACAAAGTACGTGGACAAGAGCCCGCCCAACTATGACATGTAGATAGCGCGTCTCGTGAAGTTGGAGGGCCGCTGTGAGAAGGCGCCGCGCCTGGACGTAGATGCGGAGGCAATCAGTAGGGTCGAGGCGAACCAGGAGGAGCTAATGACGGGCCAGGTGATGAGGGCCCTCCGGTGTGTGCTGATTGACGACAGGTGCGTCTGGTTTTGCTGTCGGTCGCTGCTTCAGGGTTCGGAGGGCCGATCCAACTCCGAGGTTCCCCGAGCGGACCGCCGAGGGCGAGTCTTTCGTGAGCGAGCGTGTGCGGGCGCGGAAGGCGCCTGGCTCCGCGGTGGTGTCCCAGTTTGGGGAACGCTCCCACTCTGATGTTGAGGTCCAGGGGCTGCGCGGCGCAAGCTCGAATCTGATGCGCTACAGAACTTGCAAGCCGCGCTGTGACTAGAGGCCCGACTCGGCAACAACATGTCGTGCGGGGCCAAGTTTGATGGTCAGGTGTTGACGCGCCTGCCCAAGGAAGAGTGCGTGCGGATGAGTGTGGGGCCACAGCATGATGGCGTGATTTGACAGTTGCGTTATGCTGACGTTGTGGCGCAAGGGTCCGAGATAAGAAGCAGCGAGCCTGTCTTAGGCTGCCGCTGGTGGACCGTAGGAAGTCTTGGAAGCCACCCGAGCCGTTTTCGTGGCCCCTGGGAGGCCCAGAGAAGAAACAATTGAACGTAGAGGTCCCCAGGAGTTAGACCATCCAGCCCAGCTAGAAAATGAACGTGCGCGAAGCGCGCGCGATGGGTTTATAATCAATATAGGTGTACAGATAATGTGTTCACAGATTTTATACACGACTGTATGTACACGCATACACACGTTTCTGTCATATTTCGGGAATCTGGCCCCCGGGGCCCCAGGCCCCAGCACACCAGGGGCACCCAGGGTACACCAAGTGCCTTCTCGGCTCCTGGAGCGTCCCCGGGGCCTCCCTGGAGCTTCCCAGTGCCCCCCCAGAGCTGCCAGATACATGTTCAGACGGGCCAAGATGTCTGCCGGCGGGCCAATGGCTCCAAGAGGACCCCCGACAGGGCCCTAGAGGCAAATGTCGGCCCATTCCTGTAGGGAAACGTGTTTTTTTGCATGTCCATTCGTTGGTCTTCGTATGGACAACGACGGCCCAAGAGGCCCCCTAGATCGCCTCAAGACGGCCCGAGAGGCACCCAGGAGTGCCCCGAAACGGCCAAAAAGGGTTTCAGGGCGTTCCCAGAGGCGCCCAAGAACGCCCCAACACGGGTCCCAGAGGTGGCGTTTGAATTGCAAGTTCGAGCCTCCCGCCCCTAAAGGATCCCCAAGGAGGCTCCCAAGAGGCGCCCAAGAAAGCAACACATGCCCCCAGGATACCATCAAGAGCTCCCAAGATCCAAGAGAGTTCAAACGCTACCAAGAAGCTCACAAACGGCTCCCAAGCTACCCTACAAGGTTCACAATTACCTCCAAGAGGCTTCCTGCAGGTTCCGAGGCGCCAGCAGCTACCCAAGAGGCCATGAATCCCCAACCCTGTCGCGGGATGGGCCGAATACCGTCATCCGTGTCACCGGGATGAGGAGGAAGAGGAGGAGGAGGAGGATGAAGAGGAAAAAGAGGAGGAGGAGGAGGAGGAGTAGGAGGTGGGAGAGGACGAGGAGGAGCAGGAGGAGCAGCAGGAGGAGGAGGAGCAGCAGGAGGAGGAGGAGGAGGAACAGGAGGAGGGGGAGGAAGATCAGGAGGACGAAGAGGGGGAAGAGGAGGGGGAAGAGGAGGAGGGACATTGTTCTTGTAATATTGTCTTGTTCTCTGATTCTCTGGCTCGGGGAGGGATGCTGAGGGGAGTGCAGTATGAAGAGGGCTCGAGAGGAGGAAGGAGGTGGGACACACCGAAGAGCGGGGAAGTAGGGAGGAGGAGGAGAAGGAGGAGGAAACAGGAGGAGGAGGAGGTGAAGGAACAGGGATGTCTTTCTGGGAGACGCCGACGAGGAAAAGGATGAGTATAATATGATGGGAAGAGGGAGAACGGGAGGAGAAGGGGAATGGGGGCTGCAGTGGACCAGGGATGATGACGGCGATGACGCTGATGATGATGACGATGACCATGCCGACGACGACGCCGACGACGACCAACAATATGTTGATGATGCGCATGATGATGCTGAAAAGTACGATGACGATAATGGCGATCGCGATCACGATGCTGATGATAACGGTGATAATGATGATTGTTGTGATGGTGATGGTGAAGGTGACCATGACCATGACGATGACGAGGAATATGACGGGGATGAGGATGACAATGATGACGACGACCATGACCCTAGCTAGAACTTGAGCGCGCGAGAAGCGCGCGATGGTTCTAGTACGTATACACGTACAATCATTTACAACTATATAAGGACATCTCCATACATATGTACATCTATATATATATATATATATATATATATATATATATATATATATCATGTCATTCTAACCTGGGACCCGACAGCGTATGGGTGATCCGGCGGCCCCAGAGGCGCTCACGACCGGCCCAGAGTGTCCCGACTCGCCCCCCCACCGCCAGAATGACTGTCACCCCCAGACGCCCGTGATCGCCCCTCAACGCTCCGACCACAAAACGCCCCCTGGACGCTCCGAGAGGATTCCCAGACGCCGCCCCAAGCGGGCCCCAAGTGGCAACATTCATTGCTTGTCCATGTGTTTCTCATGTGGTAGGGCTTCCGCCTTTCCGGCTCGCCGACGCTCCAAATCCGCCCCAGAAAAACCGCGATTCGAGCGAAGATTGTTTCAGAGGTCCCCAACAGGGCGCCTGCACTGCCCAAGAGGCCCCACAGACGCCCAAGAGACCTCTGGGACAGGCCGCGAATCGTTAAGAGCTCACTGCCGGACGCTCCCCACGCCTTTCAGGTCGCCCACGATGATCCCAAGGCGCTCCACGAGAGCTTCCTCAGAGAGCCCACAGCGCCCCCAAAACGCTCCAAGAGGGTTGCATGTCGCCCCCGAGCAGGGCCCCAAGAGCAACGGCATCGTTGATGTGTCATAGGTTTTTGATGGTGATTGCTGTTTCTGTCTTTTTGCTTTGCCGACGCTCCAAGACAGCCCAACAAACACGAAAGCTGCCCCCAGGGCCGAATATGAGGCCCCCAAGAAGGCGCCGAGACTGCCCACGATGCACCAAGGACTGCCCAGCACATGTCGCAATGCATGCTCAGGAGAGGAGCGCCAGGGGTTCGTAGCCTTTCCGGCTCAAGCCACTTTGTCTCACGACACTTTTCGCAGCCCAGTCAGCTTGCCTCCACGGCATACGTGCGCTTCTCAAGCCGTGGAGCGATGACTCCCCCCAGTGCTTGGCAGACGGCCTGGGAGACGCCACCCAGTACACCGCGTGCTTGCCGCAGGGTGCCCTCCGTGCCGCCGCCCGTGAGACGCGCGCACTCGGAGCCGCTGCTCTCGGGCCTGGAGCGAAACTGCCTGGCGCAGGTGCGCTCGGCCCTCGGGGCGGATCCGGACGCGGCCAGGCGCCCGCTCATGGAGCCGCGCGTCGAGTGGCCGCTCTGCGCCGCGGTCCGCCTGGGCTGCAGCGAGGACATCGTCCGGCTGCTGGCGCAGAGCGGCGCGAGGGCCGAGGTGGCCAGCGAGCAGGGGCAGTCTCCGCTCCAGCGCCTCAGCTCCGGGGGGGCGAGGTTCATGAGAGCCATGCCCGTCGACATGTCCAAGTGGCTCACGCCCTCCTCCCTCCTCCCTCCCTCCTCCCTCCCTCCCTCCCTCCTCCTCTTCCTCCTCCTCCTCTTCAGCAGGACTCCTAGAGGACAGAGGCGAAACGAAGTCCACTGGTGAGGGGTGAGGCCTTTCGCCACGTGGGAGCCGTTGGAGGGGCCCATGGGGGCCTCTTTAGGGGCCTCTCGGTTGCCTCTTGGAGCCTCTTGGGGGTCTGCTGGGCGCCCTGCTGGCGGTCTCGGGGGTCCTCTTGGTGCGGAGGGCTCAAAATGTCACTTCGCGTTCCAGGCGTTCCACCTCCTCGGGCCCCTCTTGAAGCTCTTCTGGGACCCTTTTGGGCTGTCTTGAGCGCCTCTTGGGCCGTCCTGGGGCTCCCTTGGGCCGTCGTGGCGGCCTCTTAGGGACCTGGACCCCTTGGGCCGTCCTGGAGCGATCTTTGGGGCTTCTTGGGCCGCGTTGGACGCCGACGAAACCAACAGGGTGAATATGCGAAACATGTCAGTTATCCTTAGGAATTGGGGCGATTGGGGCCTCTCGAGGCCCTCTTGGGGGTCCTCTTGAAGCTGTCTAGGGGCGTCTTGGAGGCTTCTTGGGCCGTGTTGAGGCTATTTTGATTGTTGTGAGGCCTCTTTGGCGTGTTGGAGCTCATATCGAGCAATCTGAAATGGAATCTTGGGAATCCTGCAGGCCGCAGAGTGTAGAAGCGGAGGCTCCGGTGGCCCAGGGCGAGCATGAAGGGACTAGGGGAGCCCCCCGCCTCCTCGGCCCCCCCCGTCTAATCGGGTCTCACACCCCAGGGGAGGGAGAAAGGGGGGGAGGGAGAGATCCAGTCATCTCACACTCCCTTGCACCCCGGGCCAGCGGGGGTCGGCGGATCAACTCCTGCCATCGACGACTGGGAAGAATGGATGCGCGAGTCCCACGCGCAACACGAACTGGGCGTTGCCATGGCGCTGATGATCGCGGGTGCGGATCCAGAGGCGCGCCATGGTGACCGTGGCGGAGAGCAGTGTTCTAGTCTGGAGCTCGCCCAGCGCGCTGGCAAAGATCACCTGGTCAGCCTGTACGTGCAAAACCCAGCGCGCGACCTGGGGTGCCGTGGCCGCTTCCTGACCGCTTGACACGATGCTAGACAGGAACGGGGATATTCACTCGTGTACATGGAAAAAGATAATTTTCTGTGCTCGAGGGGCTCGGTTCGCGAAAGTGCGAGACCGATGTTTGGCCTATATCGCTCGCAGTTCTTGCATATCCTCGAGTTCCCGCCCGACCCGACCCGACCTATCGAGCCAGTGCCTTTTCCCTCACACCTCGTCTCCTTACTCGGGTACCCGTGCTCCGCCCGACTTGAGCAAGTACCACACAGGGTCCACTTAATCGGAACGGCACGAGCATGGGCATGTGGCGCCCAAGGTCACAGTCGCAGGTGGAATGCTCAGCACTCCTGGTGACATTGTTTTTTGTCGCGTTCTTGGCAACTGACCGATTCCACCCGAATCGTAAGAACCAAGAGCGCATGATTATGCTTATGCGAGCGCAGTCTCGGGTGCGCTGGTCTGATGGTCGTTGGACGGATGTACAGCTCTCTTGGCGACCTCGGAGAGATTTATTCATACTCGCTCTTGGCCAGGGGGGACTCTACGAGAGTCGGAAGAGCCAAAGGCAAATTGCACATATGGCAGCACAGGGAACTCACATTGTGCCTCTGCTGGCCTTTCCAAGGGGATGAGGAGTCCAAGCTCGGGCTCTGTACTTTAGTGTTTTTTACGTATGCCTCACTCGTGCTTTCTCCCTCACACCTCCTCCTCTTACTCAGGTACCCATGCTCCGCCCGACTTGAGCCAGGATCATACAGGGTCCACTTAATCGGAATGGCACGAGCATGGGCATGTGGCGCCCAAGGTCACAGTCGCAGGTGGAATGCTCTGCACTCCTGGTGACATTGTTTTTTGACGCGTTCGCTATTGGCAAGTGACCGATTCCACCCAGATCGGCAGAACCAAGATCACATGATTATGCCTGTGCGAGCACAGCTCGGATGACCCCAAGGTCGAGGTCGCCGGAGTAGCGTACAGCTCTCTTGGCGACCTCGGAGAACCTTCTCATACACGCTCTTGGCAGGGAGGTCTTTAGGAGAGTCGGAAGAGCCAAAAGACAAATTGCACATATGGCAGCACCGGGAACTCACATTGTGCCTCTGCTGGCCTTCCCATGGGGATGATCAGTCCAAGCTCGGGCTCTGTACTTTAGTGTTTTTTACGTATGCCTCACTCGTGCCTTCTCCCTCGAACCTCCTCCTCTTACTCGGGTACCCATTCTCCGCCCGACTTGAGCAAGGACCACAGAGGGTCTATTTAATCGGCATGGCACGAGCCTGGGCATTTGGCGCCCAAGGTCACAGTCGCAGGTGGAATGCTCTGCACTCCTGGTGACATTGTCTTTTGACACGGTCTTGGCAAGTGACCGATCCCACCCGTATCGGCATAACCAAGGGCAAACGATTATGCCCATGCGAGCACAGTCTCGGGTGCGCTGGTCTGATGAGCTCTGGACGAATACGCAGCTTTCTCGTCGACAGAGCTTTCTGCACACTCTTGACAGGGGGGAGTCGACCAGGTTCGGAAGAGCCAAAGGCCAATCGTACATACGGCAGCACCAGCAATCCGAATTGTGTTTCTGCTGGCGGTTTCATGGGGATGAGCAGTCAGCCTTGGGGCTCTGTACTTCTGTGTCTGCTTGCCAGTGTCTCTACGAGCACAGCTGGCAGTGCTAAGGTTGCCAAGGCCTCAATTTAGGGGCGAAGGCCGTGTATTTGTTTTCATTCTGTCATGCCCAATAGTTATCTTACAGCCATGCCCTTGAACAACAAGATAACCACAGAAATATACACTTTTGGAGCTCCGCGCGGATTTCTTGGATCTACGCTGGACCCCCCTGGCGGCGCCTCCAGCGCCGCCGCTGGCGCAAGGGTGGGGGATCAGCGCCGATCCGAGAGTCTGCGCGGACCTCCGAGAGTTTTGTTTATGTCTCGCTTCTTTCATCTCCACCTACTCTCCAACACTTCGTCAGAGTCCTGTCCTCACTGCCGCCCGACTGGGCTGCTGACGCGGCTGCTCTACAGCTGGTACCGCTGGTCCCCCCAGCCTTGCCGACGTGCTCAGGGGCCTCGATGTAAGGAGGATTCGGGGGGACCTAGCGCGGGCGGGGTCAAAAACTACAAAAAGACGCCAGCAAAAGCTCTTGGAGATCCGCACGGATTTCCTGGGTCGGCGCGGGAGCCTTGGGGGCCCTTCCGGCGCCACCCACAGCAAACTCCGCGCGCCAGGAAGGGGATGCCAGCGCCGTATATACGCGGACGCCCTCCAGTAGATTGCTCCTGGGCCTCATGGAGAGAGAGGTCGGCGGTGTATGAATCTCCATTTGGAACCTTCGACTTTGTATATCGCCAGTCTCCCTGAAGGCTCTTGAAATTTCGTTGGCGAGTGTCTGTGAATATATTTCCGCGGGCGACGAGATCTGTACATGTGCACCGGCCCTGGCCAGGCACACATATCCTGGGCCCAGGAACCGTGCACACGCCTCTTCTGGCCAAGCTAGGAGGGCGTACACGCCGCTCGTGGGCCCAGGGTGGGCCTGGCGAGGGGCAGTGCACACTCCCGAGGCAGCGCCTGTACTTGGGAGTTCTTACTTCAGAGCGTGAATTACCTACCCCGCTTTCGCTTCCAGGCAAAACCAAGTCATACCACGCGCCTCCTCGTCAAGCGGCCTGACCAGTACAGGCCGTGGTTTGGCATCGCTTGGTATCTCTTGGAAGCGAGGGTGGTCAAAAGCGAGGTAGGTTTGTTTTGCCCCTATTACTTCTACTTCGAAGGAAACGGATGGGTCCGGCGAGGCTTTTCCACGTTCCCGCCCGTGGCCGCCTCGTGCGCTGGGTGGGCCCGGCCAGCTCTCGCCACCTTGCCGCCCGTGGGCGCCTCGTGGCCGCCTCGTGCGCCGGGCGGGGTGGGCCTGACGAGGTCTCGCGGCGCTGCCGCCCGTGGCCGCCGGGTGGGTCCTGCGAGGTTTCGCAGTGCTGCCGCACGTGGCCGCCTGGTGTTCGCCTCGTGCGCTGGGTGGGTCTGGAGACGTTTCGCCACGTTGCCGCCCGTGGCCGCACCGTGCGCTGGGTGGGTCCGGCAGGATCTTGCCACCTTTCCCTTCGTGGCCGCCTCGCGGTCACCTCCATCCACTGAGTGGGTCTGGCGAGTACTTCGCCAGGTTGCCGCCCGTGGCAGCCTCCAACTTGCACCACTTTTACGGCACCGCATAGCTTACACAGCGTTGCTTGCATCACATAGCTTGCACCCCATGGCTGGTTACACCGCACAAATTTCACGACTTAGCTTACACCACAAAGGTTGCGATACACCACAAAACTTTCACGACGTAGCTCTCAACCACAGCGTCTACTTCCGCGGTGCAAGAACTCACTCTTCGGGGCCGTGCTGGCTAACATACACATGTACTCATCATCACATATATATATATATATATAGATGATAGATGTGTTTTAGTCAGCGTGGGCCCCAAATAATGTGTTTCTCCAATTCTTTTTGTTGTGCAATATGTGTGGTAACATCTCTGCGGTGCAATGTCTAGTGTACAGTGCGGTGTGCAACACATGTTGTGCAAACTATGCCGGGCATTCTGTTACCTGTAATCCATGTTGTGCCATGGTTGTTGTTCGAAATGTGTTGTAGAATTCGTGCAGCACAATCCATATATATAGTGCACGGTTTGCGGTAGTACCTATGTCGTTCAATACATGTTGTGTGCAATTATATATATATATGTATGGTGCGATAGTTGTGGTGCAAACTATGTTGTGCAATTAATTTGCTGAACTTGAAGTTGTCTTCTCCACTGCTCGCGCAAACATCCCACCCACCCACCCGCAACTTGGTTTGCAAAACCTGTTAAGACCGACTACGACGACACCGACGACAACGACTAG